TATGAGTCAACTAATAAATGACAACTACAGATTTATTATTGCAGAATTTTTACTAAATAGAAAAAAAAAAAAAAATCCAGATATTCTTCTACGTATTAAGATACTTCATTTAAATGAATTATAAATAAATTTATATGGAAAAGTATTTAGCTGGATCTGACTTGGGTTGTTTCCAAGGCAGTTTCAACACATCGATTAACACTATAACAATCACAAAACATTACAGTAATTTGCATTTGATATAATATCAAAGTAATGGTGTAGGAATGAACTTCAGTCTGATAGGTGCAATGATGCATACAGGAAAGGTTTCTGAAACGGACAATCTTGTGCTTTTTTTTTTTTGTATCTCTTCATTTAAAATACGTTTTGTTTCCTTGCTTGTCACTTTTTTGACAGTTACAAAACCGGTGAACTTTGTGGTTTAAAAAAACAAAACAAACAAACAAAAAACAACCATAGTTAAATTCCTACCAGAACTGTCATTTGCATCTTTTCCATTGACTGAAATACCAGGAATCTTAAGTAAAATCAAGGTCCATTTTCTCCTTTTAGGGTCTGATAGGTAACGGACACTACAGGATGACAGTGCAACAGCCGTCGTGGGGTGGGAGCACACCTGCTATTACAGGGAAATCGACTGTTTTGATGCAGAATGGATTTAAAACTCTTATTTACCCCATGTTAATGAAGGTCCCGTTAATGTTTGACGGAGCAGAATATTTCACTTGCAAGGGGAGCGACCGGGTGCAACAGAAGCGGTTCGTGGAGTTGCGGTTGGCTGCTCTCAAAAAGTGCAAACCAAAGTACCTTCCCACGTAAGGTGCTTGTCTGAGTAAAAAGGTTTTAAAATGCTACTGCTTTCAGTATTGCTTAGTGCCCCTAACATGTCTGGTGTGCCTTATGCCTTACTTTTAGATGAAGATTTTATGAACTGTTTACAAGATGTTTTACAGCAGGACCAGGTATACTGTATGCAGTGGTCTTCTGCAGTACTTTGGTAAAATTCCATTTCCTTTTTTATTTTTAAAAGTACTAGTGTCTGTCACACAACCTGGCTTCTCATTGCGGTGGTCCCCTTTTTTTGAAGAGTCAAACTCTGAATCCTTTGGAGTGAGATTGTGGAATGCTGCTTTGTTTTTTTTTCCTCTCTCCCATTTAACCCTTTATTCTGTACCAGATATGAACGTGCATGTTCAGGAAAATGATTGCACTAAATTTTTTTTTTTTTGTGTAGGTGTAGTTAAGTGCCAAAATCACGGCAACCTCGAGAGAAGGAATAGAATTCTACGCTACTTAGTACTGCAGTATGTCCTATGGGCTTTAAGAGTTTAGAAGTTTTGCAAATTAGTAACCTACTAAAAGGTAGCTGCATATTCGTAGAGCTTCCTTTGCGTTCCAGCGTGTTTTGTACTTCCAGAAAAGCTTTGCTACGTACGAACTGATACATGGTTAACAGACCTGTGACTCTTTTATTTTTTCCACAATAGCTGAATTTACTCGTCAGGTCTGTTGGAGCATCCTTTTTTTTATTGAATCACTGTGTGAGGTCACGTTTCTGTTAGTGTTTGCTGTTCGAGACGGAACTCTGTACCCTCAAACTCCGCATCTTGGTTAATGGGACACTGTCAACTATTTTTCCTTTAATACTCTAAAGTGCCTAGCACACTTTTGACGCTATATATATATATATATATATAAAA